GGGGGGGGGGGGGGGGGGGGTGTAAAGTGAAAAGGAGCCAAAGGTGCTCTCTGAATCACAGTTTGATTTTTTCACTCTGACATGTTAAAAACCAGCTCATTCATATGGAATGGAGCTTTTAAAAGAGCTGGGATTAAGCTACTATTGTGGGAGTCTAAAGAAATACAGCTGACTGTGTTTTCTGGTTTGGGTTTTTTTTTGTTTGGTTTGGTTGTTGTTTTTTTCAATTTTGGGTTTGGGTTTTTTTTTGTTTTGTTGTTTTGTGGTTTTTTTTACATAATGTAAAGTACTTTGTCCACAGAATATCAAAGCTCTATTCCCTAGCAGGAAACATGGAACCCCAGCAATATTTGCACAAGCATCAACACTTTAAATACAGTGTGAGACTCCAAAAAACTCTTTGCTTTTTTGTAGGATAAACCCAGCTTTTTAGTAGGCATGAGCTTAGAGGGTTTACTGATTTCTCAGTGGCTACAGGAATAGCTTTAAATGATGCAAGGCAAGTTCATTTTAATATTTACCTCATTATACTCTACAAATATTTCACTCTAGTCTTCCTTATTCTGAAGGACAATCATAGCATGTCCTAACATTTACCCAAACTGGTCAAGAAAAGTAAAGATTGGTTTGAGCAGGCCTATTTTTAACTGTTCATTTTGCTGAGTAATAGCAGAAACAGAAGCTGGTATGAAAATACTGTTTCAGAGATGAAGGATCCTCTTAATGGCATTTGTTTACTGACTTTATCTGTTATATGCAAACAAAGTTCATCAGCTGGTCAATTTTAGAGTGCCTGATCCTAGGGAAAATGGAAACAAGCAGGCACAAGAACTGCATTTGCCTATATAATATTTAGATAAAACCAAATCAAAGAGCTTAAGAGAGGAGAATCAAATGTTATTTAAGGATTCTTTTATGCCAATAACTACTCAAAATCCAAGCAATGTCAGTTGAAAATATTTTAAAAATAAAAATGTGATTTTACAGCTTAGTCATTCTAATCACCTGCATAGAGATTCAGCACAAGGCCTATCATTCAAGGTCCAAAATAAAGCACTTGAAATTAGCTTCTATTGGTTCTGAGCAGTATGTAGCCTTGAACTTGCCCCAGTAGAACAGTTACACTTTACTTTCTTCTGCTGTAAACTGGCTCTCAGTCAAAAACAGTTATTCAAAACAGGATCTAAAAGGTTCTTTCCTTTAACCTGAGATTAAACCACAAGATATTTGTTCGTGCTTCATTTTTCCTCTAGGTTTTCATTCCCCTGAAACAACGAGTCAGGTCTCTGTGGAAGTTTGACAAATCCAGCAGTTCCTCTGAATCTGACAGACACACTCGATAAAAAAGCGTACTTCCTTTGTTGCTGAACTGTTTAGTCTTCTGGGAGTGCAGAGAACTCCCAGGGTGTCACCTGAAGAAATTGTGTCCAACAAGAGTCCTTCCATTAGACTGACTCAGAAATCAGAAGATACCACCTGCAGGCTTGGGGGGATGTGGAAGCTGCAACAAGTGCCTCTCAGCAACAACACATCACCTCCTCTACTCTGCTGCAGCATTTACACATCTGAAAGGCAACCCTAGGACCTGCTGCCTAACTTTTTACTCATCACCTAATAATCTTCTTAAAGGAAGAGAAATAAACTACTTTGCAAGAGCCATCAGTGACTGATCACTACTGTAGTGTGTTCAAAAGAAATGTAATTTCCAGAGAGCCTTGGGAGGCAAATGCAACACTCATGGGAGGGACGATGCTTATAGTGGGGGAAAAACGTAAAACACTGTAAATTCAAACAGGATTGGAAGCAGTGTGACATCCAAGCACAATTGTTATGGCAACTACATAGTAAGAATACACTTGTAAGGCGTGCATCCACAGCCCTGCCCTGCTGCTGCTGCTGATGGTTAGGAGTGCTTTACCCCACGAAGCACCTGACAGGAACAGCAGCAGGTATTTGTCCTTCCTGGTACCACACAGGAGTAGCAAGGAAGTGGACCAGAACCCGCAATACTTCCACATTTTGGACAGCAAGTACGCGTGTGTTCCTGTCAAGATCAGATGGTCTGCTCTGCCTACATGAATTTCCATTCTCTCATTCCTGTTACCATAGCAAAGTGATACATTTGATCACAGTTTTAATAGTCTTAGGGTTTATCGTTATGTCCCTTTTTAAAATCTGATTGACTTTATTTCCAAGAATGCTCCAGCCCTCAAAAAGTCTCTTAAGTAAATGGGCATGCTATATTTAGAACGAAACACAAACCTCATCTGAAGAAATGCAAGTCTGGCTATTTCATTAAAGCTCATCTTCAGTTCACATAATTTAAATCAGCAAAGCAATATACAAATGCTGATACCACCTCTCCTTTGCTTTACAGTGTTTTAACATTAAGAGGAGCTTAATTAATCAGGCTCAGCAATTGGAAAGACAGGATATACGCAGGAATCAGGATCCAGTGATCTGTCATTGCATTTAATTACCTTGTGTATTCTGAGACTTTGCAGGGTTTCTTTCCCAGAGAGAAAGAACGGACCTCGGAGCCATGGTCCAACTTTCTCTTCATCTGCAAGGTGAGGGAAAAAGAGTAACAACACGGATTTAGTTACACAACCAACCTTACTTATGGGTACTTCTGTAAAATTAACACATTTTTACCTTCTAGTTTTATACCAATTTTCAAAAAGTTGACACACATAAAATTACTTAATGCAATGTTTTATTTTCTAAATTCAACAATATTTGATACATGTTTTATAGGGTGCATATATATGTTATTGCTCTTTTAGGGTCCAAAATCTATTAGAGTTACATTATTTTAATTCCCAAATTGTGAAAAAGTGTGCAGAACTGTGTTAGTTTATTTTGTGTTGGTTTATTCGCTAAACTGTTCTCTCGCTGTCCTCTCTGGAGAGGAGGGAAGAAACTAAACCAAAGCCCTGGATTCTTTGTGTTCAGGTTTGTTGCTTAGTCTCTCCTTCAAATGGTTAAATTTAAGTAGCCTGTCTGCATTATAAACCATATTTATTTCATGCCTTATAAAAAAAAAATAAAAAAAATTACTGTATCTTTTCTTCTTTTACTTTTATTTTAAAGCTGTACATTGAAAAAATTTATAAAACTGCAGTAAAACTGACAGATTAACCAGTATTTTTTTCAAGAGGGGTAAGGATGAAAAACGCTACACCCCAGTCTCAAATGTCACCAGCAATTAGATATGATCAAAACCAAATAATGAGCAGGGCAGCTGCTAAAAGGGGAAGCCAGACTGCAAAAATTACCAAAGAGATGGAAACCAATGAAAGCCATATTTATCCAGGCAGACAAATAGAGATTACTTTCTACATATTTGGGTAATCTTTAACCACAGACTTTTGGACTAAATGAGACATACACGTGCCAAACGCAGCTTCTGAGTTTTTGTTGGTATTCCTTTTTTATTTTGAGATGTGATACACCACAGCAGTTTAGCCAGCTGAAGAATGTTTACTGCTGCTTACAACTGTGAGCTGCAAAATACATAAACTACTTGTATTACGTTTCAGACTCTAGTACAACCATTTGCTTCCTTTTTTTTCAAAATTTCGTGTTTAAGATGCAGTTTAAAAGTTGGCATCTTTCTTACACAACTTTGATTTGATCTTTTTAAATGTTGTATTATAACATAGTTATTTAACCATTTATCGAATCAGTCTACCTACCTAAAACAAAACACCCCAAACCCAGCAGGATTCTCTAAAGATTAGGGTCCATAGACTTTTGTTATGATTTTGGTTATTTATACTTTTAAAATACCCTTATGGCTTTAGCTAAGAACAGCCACCGAAGATCTCGTGTTCTGCTTTATTAGTGCTCACACAGGAAAGCTAAGGCTTGTTTTTACAGGAACAGCTACAACACAACCAGAAGAGCTTGCCTTGTAGCTGTGTTTTCTTGCCCATGCCTCACATGGGACACTCCACAGCATTTCACCAGACAAGAGCTGAGCCAGAACCGCCCTGCATGCTGCCGAATCACCAGCCTCACCCTCGCTGCTTCCCCACGCCCCGAGAGGACCAGCCCCCCCTGCTCCCCCAAAAAAAACCAGTTGCAAGGATCACTGAAAAATAATGGATACCATCTTTTATTGCTGTGCTAGGCGGGTGAGCCATCAAAATTATCGGAAGCGTAAGTCAGATGTTTGAGAAGGAATTTCAGTATTTGACGATAGACTTTTCAGAAAGGATTTTTCCTGTTCAAGGAAAATTCTTATTTCCAGCTTGCCTTTCTGAGAGGTTATCATCATCATCGTATTCCTCTTCTGCTTCTCATAAGAGGGAGATGCAGTTTTGCAAAAGCACACCTTAAAAATGAAAAGTAGAAAGCCTACAGCAGAATAATCGGCTCTGGTGACTTATTCTTTTGCGTTAGCGAAGAAAACAATGTGCATTATGTTGCCTTATCGTGATTTCACCTGTTTCTTTTGGCTGGGTTTTTTTCAGACATTTTAGGCAACTTTCACATGAGGTCCACCACGCAGACTGACTTTCAGTACCTCAGAAGGTGCTAAGTAAATAGACGGTCAAAAATACCGTTTACCATAGGAAGAAGATAAAACTTTCTCTACAGCAGAGAGGTCTAGTGACAAAATTCACACATCGGTAAGGTCTCCGTGTAACCAAAACACAGAAACCGTCGAGCAAACATCCCTCTCAACATTTCATCTGTCGCTAGGAAAACACAACTCCTTCAGACAACGTTTATTCATCAAACTAACCGAGACTGCAGTATACCAAAAAAATTTAAAAGAAAAAAAAAAAAATTATAT